TGTGATGGACAGTCAGTGTCCCCTGCTGCCCTTACCCTAATCAGATGTCCCTTTTTAGGATAGAGTAGGAAAAGTCTGTATATATGGGACCAGGTTCATTTATGCTTTTGCATTAAGATTTCTGCGTGTTTAGAGTGAAGATTCTGAAGGTTTATTGCAAATTCAGTTGGAAAACACATGCAGCTTTTAAGAAGACAGCTATAAGTGTCAACAACGCAGCTGGCTAACCGGTGTGGTGTGTGGAGCTCAGCAGCCTGACATGTCTGTAGGTCATGATGGAACATTTCATGCAGATATGTGTAGTCCCTGGGAACAAGCTCTCCATATTTAAAGGTGGTGGTTGCTGTCCTATCCACTACTTCAGGCTGGTAGGCACTGTACCCCATTGTACATGCTACTCTTCTGCAAACTTTATCATGACAGCTGAGATCTCTCCATTGCTTCATAAAATTAACTGTGATAACCAGATGTAAAACGGAAATTGAAAGGGGGGAAAAATGTATATACATACATTTTAAATGCATCTTCTTTTAGATCGACATCCAGAAGTTTTAATTGATCTTCCCTGACACATGTAGGTGAGAAAGCATCTGAAGTGACTGCTCAGGAGTGTACACTGTACTCTTTTCAAACTGTAACCTCACTTAAGTCTTGTGGCAATTAGACTAGTGGGCAGGGACTACTTTCCTGTCAGTCCAATCTAGTAGGCTGGAGCACACCATAAACAAAGACTGCAGCTACAGAGGAGGAAACAGCCTTCTCTTGCCATCAGACAGTGCAGGGCTTCCTGGCACTCCGTGTAGTCAGTTCAATACACAAACATGGCTGTCAGGTGCAGGTGCAACCTTTGAGGAGAAAATAAAAGATCTTGATAATAAAAAAGCCCCTTTTATGCATTTACCTTTTATTTTTGCGATGGGTGATGATGGTGTTACCAAATGGATCCTCTACCCCCACATTTATCACAACATTAAAATTAAAACATTTTTTTCTGATCATTTAGGAATTTAGATTCTTCAGTAAAAAGCTGACGCACTTGTTTGGTTGCTTTTTTAATGCTAGTAGATTTAATGGTGAAAGACTTGCCTTATGTTCCCACTTGTGGAATTCCAAGAAAGTGGCTAATTGTCTTCCTCTGGATCTAAAATCTGATTACAAGTTAAGTTTTATGCTTGAAGTTATATTCTTAAATAGAAAGGGCATGCCATTTCTAGACTGAAATAGTAGCAGTGGAAGAAGCCAAGACTCTTGATTTTGTTTTAAGGAAATAATTATTTCAGTCTACACTCTGTAACATACATACTCTTATATAGACCTACATATGGCATGCTAATAAGAGAGGTCACCTGAGTAATTGAATAAAAGCTCTGTTGTGGTCATGTTAACAAGTAAGTTATAAAGATTCAAATGCTGTTGCACACTTCAGTACTTAAAAGCATGTTATATGCATAAATACAGGTGTTGCAGACATATATGATCATGGTCATAAAAATTATCAGATTATTTTAATAATCTTGTTTAACTATTTTAATCAATAATAACCTGTAATTGTCAACTAACAATACACAGACCATTTACAAATAATTTACTAGTCCATGATAAGATGTGTGTGTGTACTTGATATGAATTTTGACTCGATGTCAGTCTGACAAATAACAAAATCACTTAACTATCTGGACATGCTCCATGCTCCTTAAAAGATCCTATTCCATATGTATTTTTTTCTGAATACAGAAAAGTACACCTGAATATCTGATCACTTCATTCATTTATTTAACCACTGAAAGGGAAATCCATGTACTGCCTCACAGATTCTTTGATTTGAGAGTTTAGCGCATAAGCAAAGCAACACAACAATACTTGGACCATTAAGTATGTACAACATATGCACACAGATAGCCTCAGAGTCAGTATCTTTCTACTTTTTTTTAACTGTTCTTTTGATCTGACTGTAGCTTTTGACTCATTTATAGCATCTTTTGTAGAAACAGAGTTCATAAACTAAAAGACTACAATTTAAACCTTACTTTATAAAATTCAAATCTTTCCCAAATAAGAATTCTTTCCAAAAACTAGTAAATTTTCTATGAAATACTACCGATTTTCTCCATTTCCATGGATGGAGATATGACATCTTACAGTTTCAGCCATAACATACTTTAGATAAAGGTATTTTTGTATACCTATGATAAAGTCATAAGGGTTTTTTTGTCTCTTCCTCCCAAAATTACTTAAAAGAATGATGCAATATTAAAATGGAAATCTTACAGCAATTTAAAATTCCAAAACATGACAAATAAACATTCTTAAACAAAAAGTACTATGAGAAATATTGGACTAATTATGGTAAAAATAAGCAACAAGTTGTGTTTCTATGTATGTGAATGGAAGTCCAGTGAATACAGAATTTACAATAATTACAATTTACAATACAGTACTTAAATAATACTATATAATTTGGTTGCTGCAACGGCAAGGAGGAATGCTGCTGCATTGACAGGGTGTTTAGAAAGTAATACATTAGTTGTTATGGTTTAAGCCCAGTGAACAACTAAGGTCCACACAGCTGCTCGCTCACTCCACCCTGGTAGGATGGGGGTGCGAATCAGAAGGATAAAAGTGAGAAAACTCACAGATTGAGATAAAGACAGTTTAATAGGTAAAGCAAAAGCTCTACATGCAAGCAAAGCAATGCAAAGGATACATTTACCACATCAGCAGGCAGGTGTTCAGCCACCTCCAGGAAAGCAGGGCTCCATCATGCATAATGATCACTTTGGAAGATAAAGGCAGTCACTCCAAATGTCCCTCCTGCCTCCTTCTTTCACCAGCTTTATATGCTGCGCAAAACATCATATGGTCTGGGATATCCCTTTGGTTCAGCCCAGCTGTGTCTCCTCCCAACTTCTTGTGCACCCCCAGCCTCATCACTGGTGGGGCAACATGAGAATCAGAAGAGGACTTGATGCTGTGTAAGCAATGCTGAGCAATAACTAAAACACCCCTGTGTTATCAATCAACACTGTTATCAGCACAAATCCAAAAGAGCCTGTATGAAGCTCCTCAGAAGAAAAGTAACACTATCCCAGAAAAAAAAACAGCACAGTTATCACCAAAACACAGTACTGGACTGCTGGAAATAACCTACATAATGAATTAAATTGAACACACCCACATGCAAACACTGTGTAATAACTGCATAATAACTTCTACCCTTTCAGTAAATAATGTGTGCCACACGTTTTTGGGCTTTGCTGTATTCAAACAAATGATTTAACAGTGACATTAAATGGGCCAATTCTGCTGGCAGAATATATATACATACATACAGAAATACACAGAGGCACAGAAATGCATCAGAAGAAAATGTCACCTAATTATCAGTGAAAATTAAGCCTAATTCTAAATATATATTTTAATTAAATGCTGTCAACACGAATAAAAAATAGTATTATTATATGCATTCATTGCAATAGAATAAAGTTGCACAAATGAGAGCATGAAAATCAGTTTGGGGCTGAGTCCTGTAAAGTGCACCAGGCATGCAGGTCCATGCAGATCTTATTGCAAGCATGGGTACACCGTACCTGACCCCCTGCCTCTGAATGACCAAAGTTTTCATCAAGAAGTATGGCATTTTATTCACATCTGTGTGGCATTTCAGCAGAAGTTGACACATACTCATAATGCTACAAAACTATCCTGCCTTCCCATGTTTGCTGAATTTCACAACCTTTGGAGAATAAATCTTGAAATGAGCATAGAAAATATCAGTGAACTATCAAGTGAGTGCAAAATATCATAATATTTTTGTAGTCTAATACTAGATTTTTCTCTGTTTTATGGAAAATGGTTTTAAATCTTTTGGATTTTCTACTGTAGATACCTTGTTTTATGAAAAATATTTAAGCACAGGTATTACCAGTGGAATATTCATACATAAAGACAAATTTAATACAGTGATAAATACATATACATACAAATATATGTGCATGTATCTATATAGAAATATACATATGCATGTATATAGAAATATATATACACATATATGGGCGAATATATATATATATATATATACATACACGTATTTTTTGAATCTAAGATGTGACATTTTATTGGAGGCAACTGTCTTGGTGAGAGTGCACCTTCCATTGGTAACTTTGGGGTACACGCTATGAACACTGAATAAAAGTGCAAATTCTCTTGTGTCTTTCCAGAATCTCATTAATAAATTACAGGTTTAGATAATAAAATCTCTGGACAGTCCTCCTTCCCCTTCCCTCATGGGATCAGCATCACACTACAGCCTTTGAACTGGGCCCTCATACTAGAAATTATAATCCAGACCTAAACTCCAATCTCTTCACCCATGATCTAGGTAATTAAATCATGGTAATGTTGTTGGTTAAATGAAACCATCAGATGCCATTAGTCTCTCAGTTTTACCCAAACTCACTTCTGTCAAATGTTTGAAGAGAGTGATACCGTGAGGATCGAGACCAGTGTCTCAGTTACAGTTTATTTCCTCACAAGAAGTCGCATATATTGAATTGCTAATATTGTCTCAGTCACCTAATACTTTTTATTGCTTTTAAAACCCTTTTAAGTGTTCCAATCCAATGTGAAAAATAAATGTTACAGGAATTTTTTAATTTACAAGTTGTTTGTATTTACTTTATGCTGTTAACAGATATGCTGCATTGTATACACTTTTCCCAAGACATGTGAATCTTATTAAACAGTATTAGTGACTTTTTTTTTTTTCAGTGAATTCTCTTTCCATTCCCTTTCACATTATGACAAATAATGTCATGTAAAGAATCTCTTCCATCAAAACAAGAAGCCATTGAATATACTGGAAATATGTGTGGGAAAACCATCACAAATAATGTTATATAAAGGCACAGATGAATGAACTGGTTGATTCGAGTATATCATTTGAGAGGCTTCTCTCCCCAAATTAAATGTTTCACTTAAAATAATGTCATGATTTATTGTAGGCTATTCGACCATTCCATGGAAGGATTCAAAAACTGGGAGTTTATGACTACTCACTGCTGGAGTGAAAAAGCAGCAGGTGACTGGATTTTGGAAATCTGTGACACTCCATCTCAGCTGAGAAATTTCAAGACTCCAGGTATGACTCTAGCTTTTATTTGGGCTCAGTGAATTCAGAAGAATGCTTGCAGTTGCTAATACTGCCTTGACTGTTTTCCACCTTTTATTTACAGTTGGAGCATCTCAATGCTTTTAGTGTGAAGGCAGAGCTGTCAAGAGCATTATTCTTAATTTCAGTTACCCTTATTTTTTATGTTGCTGTTACTTGCTGTTTAAGACATATGGTTCTCTTTTATTATGAATTTACTTCTGGTTTCCACAGAGAATTTAATCTTCTCAGGGGTAAACTGCCGTCTTTCTTATGGTTACATATGTCGCCTCAAAGCATAAAAAGATACTTCGGCCACTTAGAACTACATCATACCAGACATGAATTCTTCAAGCAGAGACAGACCCATCTACCATCTGACAGGTTACCAAGAGTCAGTGCTTTAAACAAAGCCAAATCTTTCCTAGGTGCAGTTTTTGAGGAAAAGATACAAAACTGCGTGGAACTGCATGTGCCACATTCAAAAGAAGTTATAGTATCTCCATATGCAGGAATCTGTTTTCTTGGATGTTGAATATACACTTATCAGACAGGTCATCAACATAAGTTAGAGCAGCCCATAGTTACTCTGCTGTGACTTTTATTGCCTGTGACTTTCATGACCAATATAGGGTTCATATTTACTTGGCCTGTATCAGCTATATAGGGCCTAAGAATTTATTTTTATGTTGCTTTTCTTTGCTTTGTATTTTTTATCCTACCCATATGAAAAAAATGGCATTTATCAGTGTTTATACAACTAGAAAATCTCACTCCATGAGATCAAGAAATTCATGGCTTTTTACCACTGATAGGTTGCATCGTGCTTCTGTGTGTATGGCCAGAGTGCTCAGACCTGGCATTCATCCACTCAAGAACTGTGCTCCTAGTAAGAATTTTTGAGCCTATAGATGTTCTTCTGCTTTTAATTCTCACTACATAGGTCAGTTCATTCACATATTTTAGTATGAGCACTGTGAAAGAAATAGAGATTGAAAGAAGGGCTTTCAAAGACACTCGTGGGACTACATGCGCTCATGTATTTGCCTTTGGACTTAATGAAAATGTAAACCTTAAAAACCATTTTGAAATAGATACGTTATACACAGACAAAAATGCCATTGTTTGTGCATGAATGTTGAATGTAGTCCTTCCTTTGGAGCCCCACATCAAAGTAGGTGGAAAACCTTTAATAAAAATAATCAAAGATGACATATCATATAAGCAAATAATCTAGATTAAAACATGTTAGACAGAGTAGTACTGCTAATGTATTGGAAATCATTTGTCACTAAATCTAAATTAACACTGATTGAAAAGCATGTCAGAATGCAATAATATTACATTGGAAATGATGAATTACTGCTTTCTGATAGATAAACATTTATTCTAAGAATTCTGCTATATATATTTAGAACTACAATGACACTAGCAATAGAATTATTTTATAAATCAGTGATATAAAAGATGCATTCCATCTCAGGCAGCTAAGTAAATTCACAAAGCAGTTTTCTATTTGATTTGCTAAAAATAAATTCTGATTTTTAAGACATAGATGTTAACTTAAAGTATTTGAAGCTATAAAAATACATCTTTGTGAATTTAACAATAGCGATTTTTAAGTGTATTTGTTTCTGAATTAGTAGGTTGTTGGAAGTCATTAAAACTATTTAAATGAGCCTTACTAAGTATGAGTACTTTTATTGTTTCTACTACATGAAAAACTCACACATAAAGAAACATTGACTAAAATGTGAACTGAAGTGCATAAAAGCTTTGAGTTTAAAATAATGAAGTCTAGCTTGATAGGGAATGTGCATGTAGTTGACTATTCTAGAAGAGTGTTAATAGTTTCAATTCTACTTTGTCCAAGAAAGGCCAACTGATGTTTCTGACACCAGATATGGACATGGAGTACTTTGTCTTCCTCTTGATTGAAATCTGGTTTGTTAAATTATTCAGATTGTAATGAAGGCTATGTGCAGTTCACCTGTTCAAAGTAAATGTGCCTTTCTGAGAGGCCAGCTGGTCCATCACTTCTGCAGCTTACAAACTCAGTAGGACTGTTTCCATCATGACCTAGAGCAAGCCAGGGCACAGGAGGAATTCTAATGTGTGAACACGGAGTTGTCCAGTCTCCTTTCTATTCCAAGTGATGCATAGGCCAAAATCAGCTGTGTTTATACTTTTTACTTTGGACAAAAAGAAACCCTCTCATTTCAAAATTATGACAAAATGGAAGTGCTGATTTTATGCTGCTTAGATAATTTTCTGTCTAAAAAAACTTACACAGAGATCAGTCTCACTCGACTGCTGTTGAAATTGATGGAACTGAATGAGCACTTTAGTTCTTTATTTCTGTTCCTCATTAGCTGAGTTATGTTCTTTTTAATGCAGCAGATGGCCAGATAGCCAATCTCTGCTTTTAAAAAAAGTTTCTCTTCCTGTCTGGTCATCAAATCATATTCTTTTATTGCCTCAGTTGTCTGCATAACCTGAATAGATTTAGGATGCTAAACTAGCAGTCATAAGCCAAAATTTTTAAAACCTATCATGTAATATGAGGCCAATAAGTCCGTATTGAAGACCAAGATAATCACTGTGATTTTCAAAACTGCTGAGAAGCAAACAGGTTTTTATTAAAGTCTATGGTAACTCTAGGGTGGCCAGTGTCATTTAAATGTCAGTTGTATACTCAAGTGTTATCTTTAAGCACAGCCTTTATAAATATTGATTATCATCCTCTAGAGCTCTGAAAGGAAAAATCAGTATTGCCAGTGTTTCAATTTTCACTTCATTTTGTCTGCACTGATCACTTCTCACCATGGTTTTGAGGTGGTGAAATGTTCTTAGCTGAGGGATGTTAATTGCACCTGTAAATGCAGAGCAGTTTCCAGTACAGTGAAAAGGGGTATTCATTAAACCCATTTGGAAAAGCAGGCATGAACAGAACTGTTCAGTGATTTGGGGGTTAAGGTTTGGTGTTAAGTTGGGGGGGGGGTGTGTTTAAATATTCAGTCTTTAGAATCTGACAGAGGGGAGGTATTAAACAACCAAGTAATTCAATTTTAATCAGATTGCTGAAAAGAGACAAAAAACAATTATTTTCAACTCCCATCTTGCACTCATTAATCCTGACACAGACAGGAGTATCTCTGGCTTTAAGGACAAGGTAGTGTAGCTCTTCACCTTTGTGTGTACCAGAACCCAGTGGTTCATCCAACAGGCATGAAGAAGATCCACGGTGCAGTATGTTTCATCTGTTCCCCTATTTTCTCTTCCCTGGAGCACTGTATTAAAGCCTAGAAAAGAGGTAGCATGGAGCCATTCTGCAAACTGTTCACCCAGGCTATTCTCCAGATACCTTTTACAGCCCTTTTATGTCACCAGGACAGTCAGAAAGTGGCCAGCTACATTTACAGCCTTACACTTTTAAAGCCTGTCCTGCACACTCCTGTTTTACATATGTATTTGTATAGGTCTTACTGACTTATTGATATCAATACTTAATATATACTCTTCTCAGTGCTACAGTGGCTAATCTCATGGGACTGATTTCTTTTGCTTCATGAGTTCTAAAGTTTAAGGACCCAGCTCTGGAAGCAAAGGGGCAGTAAGTCCAGGGAATGTAGAGAGAAAGTAGACTTGCCCAACCAAGAGTTGTGGAGGAAGCTGACACATTAAAGGAGTCCTTCTGGAGAGCTTACTCATTACATTCTTTCAACCACAGTGTGAAACAGTGCTTGAGATAGGTTAGGTTTTTATATGCATTTGGATTTCACAAGATGCAGTCTGTTTGTGAATTGGATCCTGGTTCATTGTATACTGTCTAGTAATATATCACCCAAATTTCTAGAGCAATGGTTTCCCTGTGATAGATGCTGTCCACTAACACTTCAGTTCAGAAAGTTTAGAAAGTGCCTGCCATATACTAGTGATGGATAAACTCAGCTGTTTGGCCATGTTGGGGTTAGTCTCCACACTAAACAGAATGTGAAGTAAACAGAAGGTGCTTAAACACAATTTATCACCATAGCCTGCAGTTTATCACACTGATATCACCATCATGCCTGTTTCTTGTTTCTGGGTTGTGTGTGTGTGTGTGTGTGTTTAGCTATTGAAAGGTCTTATAATTAAGAGCTGCAGTTTTCCTGTAATCAAATTGAGAACAAAGAGCCAACATGTCATCATATCCCTGCATTGGCAAAGTAATGCCACATCTGTTACCTGTAAACAAATGCAGGGTCCAGTTTATAAAAATAGTGCATGTGATTTCTGCATTTAATTCTGTAGAGTTTATGGAGCTGGACATGTGCTTGCTGTGAAACACTGTGATATACACTTTCTCCTATACATACAATAAGGGACCTCTCTGTTATATACTAAATACAGGCAGGGTAAAGGATATTCTAGCCAAACTAAATGATGGAATCAGCCAAAAATGGGGAAAGAAAGTTTTTGTCTTAAATGTGCACACTTTGTTTATTCATTATAAAAGCATGTGTGTATGTATATATACTTCGTTATTGAAATATTTTCATTGTGCAAATTAAACCTGCCTTGAGGCAGACTTCATTTATTTGCTGGCAAGTTACATGGATTTTTCCCCTCTTTATTTACTGAACCATTCTTAAAAGGCAGCTAATCTCCTGAGAGACCCTGCATTATTCCCCTTGCTGTCCTTTTGCATTAGGTATACATTCAAAACACCAATCCTTCCTGCAGTAATGTCAGTACAAGCCCTTCCATGTGTGTAAAGTCCAGACACAATACACTGTGCCTGAGGAGCATCTTCACCTGTGGTTATTTTTAGTGGGTCCTTGCAAATTTCTAGTAATCTGTATCTTTCCCAGTGCTCTGGAAGAAGTATAACATCAACCCTGGAAAGTTTAGTGATTTTTGGAGCATAATAGTGATGAGGATTAAAAGATCTGAATATCTTTGCAAAACACACTTTTTTTGTTTGCACCCAATATATTATAGTACATATGCTGTAGAAGTGGGTTAAAACACAAAAAGGACAGAGACTATATGTGGAGAAACTGTAGCTTTGAAAAGGCTGTAGAGATGACTGCATATCTAATTTTAAATGAGCTCCCTGTGTGACTCATTTCTTAAAAAGAAAAGTGCCTCTGAGGACCAGCTGAATCACTCTAAAGAACACTGAGAGCTAACACGATCCCCACATGTCTATACAGGAAGAAGATATTTGATTTGGGTCTTTTAATCTAGTGGGAACTAAAGGACTACATGGCTATGAGCTAGAGAAAGTAAGACAAATTGAAAATAAAATGCATAGACAAATTGAAAATAAGGTGCATGCCAAGGTAATTAACTAGTAGTTTGGCAACAGGTGTGGTAGACTCTTCATCAGTTAATTTTTTTTTTTATCAGGATTGAATGTCTCTTTAAAATATTTGATGCTTTGCTTTAAGCTTTGAAAAGTTGGAATTGTCAACCAACTGTTGTGTGATGTAGTCTCTTGACTATAGTTTCTTCTCAAAAACTGAGTATAGAGCAGAGATGGTTTCATATGAAGTGCAGAAATTTGAAAAGATTCAGTTGGGTTGGCATGAGACAGCGAGATAATAGAGATTCCCATCTTTGACTCCAATATAAACCATTTAAAAGAACTGGGCTGTTATCTATCAGGTAGTGGGTTTGCATATTGTTGTTTACTGATTGAAGGATGAATGTAAAAGCAGAGACATAATGTTCTGTCTTGGTCATGTCAGTGGATGACACCAGATGACATTGGGAAAAATACAGAACAGCCACCAGAACAGGATCTTTCAAATTCAGAAAATACTCCCTGCTCCTCTGTTTCCTTTCTCTTCTGATGAGAATTTGCCATTTATATCTGGCTGCTCCAACATAGATAAATATAATCAAGAGAAAAGGGTAAGACCAAACTTACATTCCATCTTTTCAAGCAGGGGTGTGTTTTTTATTTATCATTATTTTATTTTTATCATTACTTTAGGCATTATTTCAGACCTGAGTCCTTTTGCCCTTTCACAGATTTAATTCACCAGGTAGTATAGACAGAAGGGTGGAGACTTTGTGTCCTGGCAGCCTGAACCAATGATTTGATATACATTATTCTTTTTATTCTTGCACAAAAAAACTTGCCAAAAAGTGAGATAATGCTTCAGGCAGGCAAACAATTTTTTCTTTCTTCACTCACATACTGGGAGGATAAAATATTAGTGATGGACACCGACAGTGCAGTGATATATCTGCCAAATAACTAGGGCAAATAAATATGAAATTATGCTGGTTTAGGAGGGAACATTGATGGCCTACCATTTTAAAAGAAGCTGTTTTCTGTTTATCAAGATGTGTCCTGTAAGCCAGTGAAAAGTACTCGAGTAGTGAACAAAATGTAACCCCTTTCTTAAGTCAGAATTCTGAATACAGATAGTGAGCTGAAAGATCTCAAATAATAATTAGTAGATAATTAAAGTTCTAAGGAAAAGTGAAATCAAGAGCGAAAACTCCTTATTGAGTACCATATGCATTTTCCAAATAACTGTATGGCCAAAGGTTTTGGTTTTTATTGTTTATATTGTGTTCAACACGTGGTGCAAAGTTTTACTAGCTCTACAAGAGACTGGAGCACCATGAAAAGACTACATAAAAATCTCATTGAAGAAACAGTGCTTTCTCAGTTTATAGTGATTGTGCTATCCATATTAAACTGAAGACTCTAATTTGAAAAGCAATGTCTTCCATACCTACTCAGAAAGTCATGTTTACAAATGATATGTTTTTGTAATACACAGAAAAGAGAAATGGTTTCTAAAAGTACATTTTAAATACTTAACTTCTAGGCAAACTGAAAGAGTGGTCCTTAGTACTATATGGAACATCCATTCAGCCCTACTCACCAAGAAATGATTTTCCAAAAGTGGAAAGAGTGCGCTCTAGTCCAGTTGAAGACCCTACAGAAGATTATGGAACAGATGACTATTCAGGTTCGTACATTCATTTACTCTGATCATGCATTTTACTGAACACATACTTGGTTGAAGGAGTGACCTGAGACCCTGAATATGTAAAATGTTCAGTGAAGTGGATTCTTAATTTAAGATCAGAACTATTTGTTTCATAATTTGAAGGTAGATATTTTCATTTCATCCTTATGAGCTTGTAAACATAGTTATATATTTTTAAGCCACACTTAACATACTATGAAGAATACACTGCTTTTCATGTAAGTGTATAAAAATATATATACATACATATGAACACATATATATATATATATATATATATATATATGAATTACATTATCTTCTAAATCTATGTTGTTTCTCACTGATCCCTATAGAAGTTTTTCAAACTTAGCATTAGACTTTAAAAGAGTTAGATTTTTGGCACTCCAAAATACATCAGGTTGGCAGTTTCCTACATCTAATCCAACATTATGAGGATCGTGTAGATGGTTAGGGCTGATGAATCTTAAGTATAGCTCCAGTAAGCAAACAGCAGGACAAAGTTCAATTTAGAAGTTTCTGTTATTAGAGTCTCCTGCCACAGCATGTCAGACGCACAGTGATGGAAAGCTGCTGATGAAACACTGCTATCTCTGCTGTAAAGGTCACTAACTTCTTAAGTTTTTGTATGAAGCAAACTCACTTCAAGTTTACCTGATGTTAGGAGAAATTTCAAGGTGGCTAGCAAACTCACCGCGTTTTGTTCATGAGAGACCAGTGATCCTGAAATTATAGCTTCACCAACAAGTTTGTTCACCTGCATAAAGGCAGGAGTTGATGGTTCTCTCCTCCTGTAACAGGAAGGGCCTATCTGAAAACTGTAAATAGAACATAGAATATCTCAAGTTGGAAGGGACTCATAAGGATCATAGAATCGTAGAATGGTTTAGGTTGGAAGGAACCTTAAAAATCATCTATTTCCAACCCCCTGCCATGCGCAGGGTCACCTTCCACTAGCCCAGGTTGCTCAAAGCCCCGTTCCAGCCTGGCCTTGAACACTGCCAGGGAGGGGGCAGCCACAGCTGCTCTGGGCAACATGTTCCAGTGCCTCACCACACTTACAGTAATGAATTCCTTCCTGTATCTAATCCAAATCTACCCTCTTTCAGTTTAACACTGTTATCCCTCACCCTATCACTACCCTCCCTGGTAAAAAGTCCCTCCCCATCTTTCCTGTAGTCCCCCTTTAGTCCTGGAAGGCTGCTCCAAAGACTTCCCAGAGCCTTCTCTTCTCTGGGCTGAACAAGCCCAACTCTCTCAGCCTGTCCTCATAAGGGAGGGGCTCCAGCCCCCTGATCATCTTCATGGCCTCCTCTGGACCAGCTCCAACAGATCCATGTCATTCTTATGTTGGGGGCCCTGCAGCTGGACAGTACTGCAGGTGGGGTCTCATGAGTGGAGTAGAGGGGGAGAATCCCCTCCCTCAACCTGCTGGCCACACTTCTCTTCATGCAGCCCAGGATACAGTTGGCTTTCTGAGCTCACATTGCTGGCTCATAGTCAGATTTCCATCCACCAGTACCCCCAGGTCCCTCTCTGCAGGGCTGCTCTCAATCCACTCATTGCCCAGCCTGTATTTGTGCTTGGGATTGCCTCGACCCTTGTGCAGGGCCTTGTTGAATTTCATGAGGTTTGCACAGGCCCATCTCTCGAGCCTATTGTCAAATCCAACATGACTGCAAGTGAGACAGAAGACTTGCTAATCAGGAAGTATTAGCCAAGGATTTTGCAGCATGTAGCAACACAGTGGGAAACAAATCTGTGCCCTGGAGGCTCTGAAGTTGGGTTGTGGTAGCCACTGGGAGCAGTTGCTACCCAGTTGGTAACTAGAGTAGCCACTGATCATGTTGTTCAGCTTTTATGTTGACCTGCTTGTTATAAGTGATTTTGCTAATAATTCTTCATTATGAATTACAAATGCTTTTGCACATTTCTGAATAAAATTCAGAATGTTTTGTTACTCATTAGGAAAACATCTGTTTGGATCAAGAAATAGTTTCTCCTTGATAGATTCTGTAGAGGATGCCACACTTTCTAAAAATTACAAATTACTGTGAATAAATACTTGAGGCCAGGATTTGCAAGGTCTTCAGGTAGTAAAAAGCTGCTTTTTTTTGGTGGAGCCAAATTACTATTCAGAATTCAAATCAAACATGGAAGCATAGTAATTGCATCCTGCATTAAAATACTATGTTTTAAGGGGTGCTAAGTATTAAATGAGAAGTTTGAATCCCTTCCCTGCTTGTATTCTGGCTTAATTATAGGTCCCTGCAATGCAGAATGTAGTAAAGTAGGGTGTGATGGACCAGGACCAGATCACTGTACTGACTGTCTGCACTACTACTACAAATCTAAGAACAACACACGGTAAGACCAAAAGTCTTTACTTCATAGATCTCTTAGTGTATGTCTTAACTTCCTTTCCTGTTCTCTTGCTGCAGTCATGAATAATTCATCTTCCAGTGAATTTGACAAACTTTCTTAGGAATTGAAAAAAACAGCCTAGCTAAACAGAATTTAAATTACAGCCTTCAAAAGCCCTTCTCTAATTATTTCCCCATCTCTTGATTATTTTTTCATAAGAAGATATAGATATACATATATAACTGTGATAGCTACTATTCTCTGAGTTTGAATGAGATAGGAAGAAATGTAGATGGTCAAAAATGATACTGTGTGACTGTCTGATAAGGCATTTTCCAGTGAGATAACTGCTGTAGTGAAATAAATGAAGGAGAAGAGGCCGCTTGATGCAATGCGTTGGAGTGTTACATCTTAGCAAACACGTAATCATTAGAAAAGCAGCAATACTGAGAAATACTTCTGCTTTGCAGTCATGGTCCAGGAATGTGGTGGCAGGTTATTTCATTAACGACTCTGCCTTCTCTTCCCTGCTGTCTGCAGGATCTGTGTTTCGACCTGCCCACCTGGTCACTACAATGCAGACAAGAAACGCTGTAAAAAATGCTCACCCAATTGTGAAACCTGTGTTGGAGGCCATAGTGACCAGTGCATGACCTGTAAATCTGGCTACTACCTGAATGAAGTAACCAATAGCTGTATTACCAACTGCCCTGATGGGTTTTACCTGGATAAGAGTTAGTATTTCTTGTTGTTTCTTTATTGTGGGCTACAGGATTTGATCTGGGGAGGTTGTTGGAATACTTACAAGCTGGAAACATGTATGTTGTTACATCTATCTCTTATCCTATTCCTTTTATTAAATTGTTTCCAAGTGTGATCAAGAATCTTCTCAGAAATCTTCATTTTAAAAAAACATCCTTAGGGGCAGCATGTCTTTTCTGCTTGTGACTGGAAGTAACAGTAGCAGAATAAGGGCACTTCAAGAGCAGGTTAGCTGCAGGACAGAGCAGGTTATCACTACCCCAGAAAGAAACAGGCAGCACCCACATTCTGAAAGTGAGGCATTCTCCATTCCAACAAATTCAAACAACGTGGCATCAGATAGAAGAGTGAGATGAGTATCGACCATGGTCACTGAACTGGAGCTCTAAGAAAAATAGGCTCCTCAGATGTAAAATGTGGTTGCAATTAATGTTTCTGACAGAATTAAGTGATGTGATGTGATGTGACGTGATGTGATGTGATGATGTGATGATGTGATGTGATGTGATGTGATGTGATGTGATGTGATGTGATGTGATGTGATGTGATGTGATGTGATGACCCAAGAGCAGTAATTATTCTCTGCCATGTGAAACACCTGCCTTCAGTTTCCTCCTGTGATTGCCAAGTGGATTGCCCATGTTTAATTTTCCGCTTTGGCTATCAGAAATACTCAAACATATATTTAAACATGTGCTTAAAACTACAGTGATTTCAGTTATCTTTAGACACGTTCTTAAAAGATAAATATGTGTTCAGGAACTTTGTTCATCTAGGTACCTAACCTTTTGCTTTCTGCATCATGAAGCTGTGTGTTCGTTTCTGAGAATCAGTAGAAACAGGTACTACTTTAATTCTCTCATTTTTCACTGTGTGAGAACTACAGTAAAGAGAATTCCTTTCCACCCAATTCAGATGGATAGATGAAAATTTAGGATTTAAACAGGAATATCCATTTTTTCTTCTCAGAAATGTACATGGCACTGCATCTCAAAAGACAGCAGGTCTGAAGAGTGAGAGAAATCTCTCAAAGTAAGGAGCTCTTAAGATGAAAAGGCAGGTGTTAAGTAATTTATGTGTTGATTTTGTTAAGATCAGACCTGTTCATGCAGGTGTATCTTTAAGCACCAAATAAGGAAAACTGTACAGGCTGCTTGCATGGAAGGTATAAGAGGTAAATTGCAGGACAGTCTCTGGAACACATGGCAATCGTTCTTCATATCACTGCTATATGGAAAGATTATTTCAGTCCATATAGTTAATGTAAATTTAAAATGTTTACGAAGATTTTTTTTTAATGACCTCAAAGCATATTTTTTTCAGGATACAACTATAACTTCAGGTGTTTAGAAACAGATTAAACCATTTGATGTTTAATGGAAAAAGCTAATGATAGTCAGATTTTAGCTATTTTAGTCTAGCTTGCTGCTTCCCTTCCTGATGTCAAACTAGAGAACAGTAAGTCATGTAATAATGGTTTTATTAAATATAACTGACCAAGGTTTTCTGGGCTGTTTTCTTTTTTTCCTTTGTAGATAAGATTATTTGCCGAAAATGTAGTGAAAACTGTAAGACATGTGTTGAATTCCAAATCTGCACAGAATGCAAACATGGCCTAAGGTAAGGAAATGATGGATGTCACTAAACTGAATACCTGAAGAGGCTTACAAGGCTGTGGATGCGCAATGAAGAACATCAGATAGCTATTTAACCTTGAGTGGCCCTCATTTCATGTGTTCCATCACTGTTTAGTTTGTAATATAGTATTTTCCTGTGCTACTATGTGCCAGTTTGTCTAACAACAGATTTTTAGAAGACTTTTCATTTCAGGTAAAATAAAAGCAAGAGTCATGTGGAAAGGTGGCTTCTTCACTTTTTTGACCTACAGTGTGTCAGTCAAGGATTATTTTAGAGGTAGAGCTGATGAATTGTATTAATCTTTCTGATTCATTCCTGTGATACTTAGGAACTGTTTTCTTATCTTTATTGTATTTCTTCACACATCCAGTCATTCACTTATCTCAAGTACCTCGGGCTCAATTCTATTACATTATAGTGTGCACATATTTTAAATAGCAGTGGATATTTTTTCTTCATAGGGGGACTTAATCATTCTTGAAACTGATAGGTAAAAGCACAAAGCAGCACTACAAGTTTCAAGCTCCTTTATGACCTTTTGATCCAAGCAGCAAAGGTCAAAAATCTTATAAAATATATGATGGAATGTATGCTGGCTTTATGCCATGAAAAACATGGAGTTACTCTTCAGTATCTGTAGAGGTTCTTCTGCAAATGTTTTAAGAGTGAGATTTTGCCTTCCATCAAAATGGATTTTCCTCTCTTAGTATAAGGTGAATGTTGTCTGCTTCTAGGGCATCAATACTGCATTCCTTTACATTTTGTAAAGGAATTCTCGTTTCTGTATATTTATGTTGCATGTAGATTTCCAAGTGCCTGCACAATTTTTATTACAAATATCTCTGTTTTTTTTAAAGTGACTCTTCGAGAAGGAAGTGTGATCTAATGGGAAGGAAAACATGGGATAAGATCAGAATATTGGGCTATTTACACTCTGTGAAATACAAGTATATGCCTCCCTTCTAAAATGTTATTAAATTTGAAGTCTAGGTTAAGATTTTGAACGATGTTAACAGACACAGCATGACCTTCTGTGTAACTGCCTAGTCAAATTAGTAAATTAGCAGTTTAGAAATTCCTACAATGGGCAAATATGTCAGGAGACCAAAGATTACATAGTTTGGGGGCCTTATAGAACACAGTTGCTATAGTAAAGTTATGCCCCCATTTTCTTCGTTTCTCAGGAACAGAGTGTCCCTGTCCATTATCACAAACAGCAGCTTATTGCACCACTGAAGAAAGCAGTTAAATCCATTCAGTGTGAGAAGAGAAAAATAAATTGAAATATTAAAACCAAACAAACAAACCAACCGACTTTTTCTTGGGCAGTATTAGCAAAATTAGATTGAATTTTGTTAACATTTTGACAAAACATCATCTTTGTGGGTGTTACAGTTAAATGGAGCCTTGCAAGACATGCATTTCATATGTCCCAATTGTTCAAAACTTGCTGCATTTTTTTTGGCAACGTTATCTCTGGGCAGGGCCCTGGATGGGACTTGGAACACCTGGATTCCTGTTCTGGTGCTGTAACTGGGTTATTAAATAAGCTTGGGAAAATTATTAGTTTTCCCATCTGCAAAACATGATAATGCTACTTGCCTTGTAAACCACTTTGAGGTGTGCAACTGAGGAAAAATAATAAAAAAGCAGGGGTTGTTAGGTTTGTTGAATGTTAATCTAGTTTTTATAAACTGGTACCATATACGCTCTTGATAATTTCCAGTGGTGCTGAGCACATACCTTTGCTGGATCCAGTCTGTAAAACAGGATTAGCACTCACTCAGGGTGGTAATCCCCAGATCTGAAGAGCATTTTTAGAGAAAGTTAAATTAGATGGAAGCTGAGGTTCCACAGAAGATGGCAAACGTGGCAGAGAAGTCCTAGCTTAAAATAAACAAACAAACAAACAAACCCCAAAACTGCTGTAGGCACCTTATACCATGAAAGCATGAACAGCTACTTAAAAGGAAACATGGTCGCATAACTCTATGCTGTTTCTTTTTCCTCTGTTACTCGCTCTTTTATGCTCTCTCTCAAGTGCCTGCGGGCAGAATACCTCCAACTGTAATCTCCCCAGCCATTCAGAACTGGCATTCAGTTAGAAGGTCTCAAAGACAACTGCTGTTGCAGAAAGAGGTGGTTGTTTTCCTTCAGTGTGAAGCTATTCTGTACCTGTGATGTAGCATAGTATCAGGAGATGCTGCTGGTCTTTCAAGAGAAGAATGAGATCTTGTTAACAAATCCCTTAGCATTTTTTTAATACAGTGGTGCTGACCCTGTGCCAGATTCCTTGCAGGTAATTGCATTTTACATGCCTGAATTTTTAGTACTCTTGGCATTGCTCTTTTTATTTTCTGTCTCCTATTGCTTGGTAGTATTTACAATGGGTTGGTAAACAGCTTCTGTATTTCACCACAGGCAAAACTGCATTCCATTCCAACATGAAGTGATTGCTGTTTCTAAATTTATAAAATATGACCAATGAAGAAAGGTGATGAATCCTAATATATGTGTTGTTCTTTTATTGAAAGAGAACTACTGGTTTGTGCATGACCATGTTGTCCTCTGTTGCTGTTATCTGCCCAAACACTGTGCTTTTTTCCTTTTTACAATAGTTTGCATGGCACTAGATGTGCTATCCGCTGTGAAGAAGGAAAATACCATAATGGTAGAGAATGTGAACCATGTCACCATTCCTGTGCAACATGTGCAGGTACCCCGCTGACATATATGCATGATTTCCTTTCCTTGATGTTTTCAGCTCTAATTTCACAGTTGCAGTATAACATGATTGTTTACATGTAAAAACTTAATTAACTTGATAGTTCTTTGATATATTTTAAATACATCAGACTTCTTTCAGCTAACATGAAAATCTAAGTTTTGTAATTGAAAGTGTGTGCATACAATTTTTTTTTCTTTCCTTTTTTTTTTTTTTTCCCTTATTAGTAGAGCTCATTCTGATCTCCATAATGCCCTCTCTTTTCTTTCTGGGATGGAAAAATGACTGATAAATTTTGTGCAAGCTTCAGAACTACCAACAGCCATTTCTTTAGAAAAAGATATGCTAAAGTTACATAATGTTGTTTATTCTAACCATGTACCTTTATTGCTTGATGCTACTGTTTGAAAGAAGGTCAGGAAGGTAAAACGTGGTCTCTAAAATGGTAAGATTTTGCTGCAGTTAGAGGTGGTGTCTCTTGGGCAATAAGAGGAACTAGCCAGTAATACAGTATATTTTCTCTCTGGTTTAAGGTGCTGGAGTAGATGCCTGTATAAACTGCACACAGGGTTATTTTATGGAAGATGGAAGATGTGTGCAGTCCTGCAGTAGTGGATATTACCTTGATCACTCTACTGAAAGTGGATACAAAAGCTGCAGAAGGTATGATCAGTGGCTGTCCCGATCCAATATTGGGTAGTGTTCTTAAACGATCCCAAGAGCAAGATTAAGACACAAACGAGGTCAGATGCCATACAACCTTGTGAACTTTATTTCCTGTAACAACTGATAATAGTCGTACGGGGTGGGGGCGTGATGGCAGGGGGAACAGTTGGCCAGCAATTCCTTGAGCCTCTGCATGTCCTCCTCATCCCGACTTCTTCGCTTGGCCCTGCATGCACGCGCAGGTAGATGTTACGAAACAGGTAGATCTTCCAACTTCAGTCAGACACTGTGTGTTTTTTGGGGATATTTTTGTCCTCTTCAGGGCATACTTCATCAGGGCAACAGGGTGTTGAGGCCTAGTTTAGGAAGTGGTGCAGTGCTGAAACAGGCAGTTGAAGCAGTCTGGCAGTCTCTACACCACCCCGCAGCTCAGGAGATGGTAATGGCACAACAGCAATGCCGAGACAAAACAGCTGACACAGTCCCTTACAGTGGCTAATATATGTGTCTGATGTTTGGCAATATATTAGCTATTACAGGAAAAAGATAATACTTATGAAAACATCAAACACTGCTGACTCCAAAAAATAGAAAAAATATATTGCATACTAAGCAAATGAAGGAAAAGTGGATTTTTAAAATTTTAGTCTGTTATATTCATGCAAGTCTTCTAAAAGTGTTTTTTCTTGTACATACATCTGTGTCCTTCACTTTAAAAGAGCCTGTAGTGAGAATCTAAGTGGATATGCACAGAAATGTAAATTTTACAAATCTGGCAGAGGATCTGCATTTCTCAGTAAGAAAGGAAAATAGTCAAGCTAGGGGGTTTTTAATTGCAAGTTAATTACTATTCATAAGGACCATTTCAGTTCTTCAGCTGCTTAGTCACAAACATAGCACAAGTATATTGTCAGACTGCTGTCCAGAATAGCTCACCTGTCTCAGTGTGCAAATGGGTGGGTAAATCTTGAACAAGGCTGTGTTGTGCAAGGAAAGGACGTTGTTTTCTATTCCATTCTTCGTTAAATACCATTTTTTGCCCTGTGGAATAATTTATTACAGATTCACTTTGAGTTCAGGACAGGAAGGGAATCGCCATGTGTAACAGTTTTCCACTCAAAAAAAATAATCAGTACACAATCAAAGTATGATGGAGGCAGGAGGTTGCTGAAAGGACTGGGCAGCAAGTCAGTCTTCCATCCTGTGGCTTTAGATTGTGCCTCGCTGCTGCATGTTTGCACAATCAGCTTAACACTTTTGTTGATTATTTCCATGTAGTTCCAAAATACTAGTATAATGCAACTATTTATTTAAAATTGTGAATAGAAAGTCATTAGAGTAAAGAAGCAGGACTGGGTTGCAGGGGAAGTTAATTCTTTTTAATTACTATTAGAGCGGCTAATACCTCTAGAAACAGCAAACAAATCAACACAAAAGAGGTATCCTAGGAACTCTTGTATTTGGTGAGGCCATAAGACCAACTCCTGCCATTGCCTTTCAGATGTGATGCCAGCTGTTTGGATTGTAGTGGCCAAGGAGACAGAAATTGTACGAGCTGTCCAAGTGGCTATAACCTAGACACTGGTGTCTGCGTAGTAGGAACAGTCTGCAAGGATGGTGAGTGCAATTCTCTGAGAAGATCCATTTTACCACTGCCAGCTTCTTGTTTCACATGTACTGGGTTGGGTTTAAGTCTGTTTTTTTTCTTTTGTTACAGTCTTGATTTGAGGTCTACATTACTTCTTAATTTTTTCAGATTTATGAAAAGGAGAAAACTACATTTGTGTGTATTAATGAGATTAGTCACAACCACTTTACCTGAATCTTCCTAAAATAGCTTTCCTCCCTGCCAACAACCTACTTTTCCTTCCTTATCTGTTTTTCAAAAGACACTGCTTTCAAATGATTTTTATATGAAGATCCTGGTGTACTGTCAATAGAATCACATTTATCTATTTTGCCACTTTAAACTGTGAAAATGCTGGTAAGTGGAAAGGATTTTAAGTGCCTATAGTATTGCTTGAATTATGTGAAAGGTTAATGGGAACAAAACAATTCTGAAATAGAGATCACCAACTTGTAGTGCAGATTCAAACTTCCAACAACTCCTCTGTGGCATTCTAAATGCATATGATTGGCTTAATTATTCACAAATATTGATTCCTTTCAAATGTCACAATCACAGAGACACTCAGATAACATCGTGCTTCCCTAAAAATGCTACTATATTAATTATTTGCAGATACAGCCCAACAAGTGCAGTCTAAGGGGAAAATCATACCAGAACAAAGCCCAGTGTTAAGCCGTGTGGAAAATACCTGACACTGGATGTACAGAAATCTAACAATGACGTTTGGGTCCAGTTCATTTCTGCTGGATCTAGTAAAAACTACTAGTTAGACAAAAAAAAAAAAAAAAAAAAAAAAAGAAAGGATGCAGAGTTGAGTCTTTTTTCTGTGGACCTTTACAGCTCCAGATGGAATTCAGGCCTTCAAACTTTTAAAAGCATCCTGTCCATCATAAAGTTATATTACAGATGCTGGCAAACCAATTATGAGACCTTTTCACATGACGGCATTAGACGTGTTATAATCTAGAGAAAGTCCAGAGAAGGTCAGATATAGGAGGACAAATTAAGAGGAAGTGTAACGCTAAGAGTTATGAGTAACCACAGTCTCAGTATGAATTTGTGCAATGCAAGCATTTGACATACCAGTTTGGTCTTCAGTATGGTTGGATAAATATGTCTTAGTTTGTACATAGGCAACTTCAATTAGATACACATGTAGTTGCCCCAGACTGGGGACACCGCATCTCAGTACTGTCTCCCCCATTCTTCCAAGTGTGGCTGCCATGAAAGGCCAACACATCAGTGTGTGTGCCTTCAGGCAATTGCAATGCACCATACTGGATACCACCACACAGCACAAGTTCTCAACAGTCTAGGGCAGGCAAGGAAAGTCCAGGAGGCTGGGTTTTTTACTGTTAATCTATAAAACATAAAAGGTCTCATTTCATTGCCTGACAACCACTTGTTACTAGTCTAACTCACTCTATAGGATTTGCATTTCTGTTGAGAATGTTTTATTCTTTTTCTGTGGTTTGACTGGTTTATTCTTTTGATTCATAAAAATTGAGAACAAATTCCTTTGCTGTAAATATCACTGTTTTCTAATTATTCTCTTTCTAATCTTTTTTTTCCTTTTCACAAATGGATACAATCATTCCCTGTCGGACCACACAATATCTCTTCCTGAAAAAAAAAAAAAATGCTGTTGACTGAAATTCCTTTTGATGGACCAAATTTCCTACTTGCTACCTGCTCCTGAATGGTCTCTTCAACCAAATCTGCCTGTCTGACCAATTAAATCTTCCTCCATTGTACACGCCATGCTCTCCAAACCTTCAACCTCCCCTCCTTCTCTTGCTGCTGCACTCTGGAAGCCACGGAAGAGTCCTGGGCCGAGGGAGGATTCTGTATGCTGGTGAAAAAGAACAATCTCTGCCAGCGGAAAGTGCTTCAGCAATTGTGTTGCAGAACATGTACGCACAAGGGGTGAACTGACACCTCCCAGCATCCTCCCGCTCCTGTAGACTTATAGATTAATCCATATTATTGAAAAAGGAAAAAAAAAAAAAAAAGAGGAAAAATAATAAAGCAAACCACCTCTCTTTCTCTCCCCCCTCTTTGTCTGGGGAGATGGTGAACTGTTTGTTGGAACTTAAATGGAAAAACTACAACACGCCTACCTTTCATAACTGGGTGTCTAGAGCTAAGCATCCAGGATCAGAGAGTCAGTATTGTGTGACCAAAGCATTTGATGCCAAAATTAACGTTTAACTCATGATTTGATTTCCTGTCAACCTTAGGATTATTCCTGTTTTTTGAAGGTCCTTTTTCTTCCCTTTTTTTCCTACTTCTTTCCCCTTCAAGATGTTTAAAGAGTGCTTCAAGAATACAACAAAAGTTTACATGGATTAAAACTAAACAATACAAAAATGTTTGCATTAGTCTTTTTTGTGCTATGTGTATTGACAGGGGGAACTTGAGTTCCTGAGGGGATCAGAAACAACATTAGCTGCAGGACTAAGTTCTGCCCCTTTTGTAACAGTATTTAAAAAAAAAAAAAAAAAAAAAAAAAAAAAAAAAAAAAAAGTGAACATTTCTGCACACATTTCTTTCTTACTTCCTCTGCTGTGTGCTGTTTTTTGTATCACATGCAGTATGTATATATGTTTGCCCAAAATGTGGTTTTGGTCATATAGATTTCATTTTTAGACAGCTAGCTTATTAACAGATATGCTAGGATTTTTATTTTATTTTTTTAAATTGTCAAAGCTATTTCAAATAAACTTTAAAAAAAAAATTGTTCCTGTAGTGAACAAATTCAAAAGATACTTCTCTTGGTTTGCGTAAGCAAGAGTAATGCGTACGCTCAGAAGTCAGAAAAAAACATTGCTAACATGTAAGAAGCATTCATAAATTATTGTTGTTTTGTAACGTTCACAAAAAAGGGGATATTATCATACAGATATGTGGAGTTATTTCATAGTGCTCATATGTAAATGCCAGTGTGACTCTATGCGACAGCATGTGTTTACAGGACTGGATTTGTAATTGTGCTGAATACATCTCCAGGAATAATTACATATAGGGCAATAAATCAATGGTTCTTTTGGTGTAACAATCGTGTCATGATGGGCCTGAATCTGCTTTTAACTGCTCACAATAGGAATTTCAGTAGGGATAGTCCTGCTGAGGGCAATGGAGTTACCTCACTGTAAAACCATCCTGGGTGGCGAGAGAAGCGGCCACCGCCTTTCTGTCTTTACCCAGGCACATGGCTGCCAGCACTAATTCCTTTTTAATGTATCTTCATCAGCTTCACTTAGCATACTGTTCAAAAGACAGTCATTTAGCAGAAAACAGAAAATTGAACCTCAAAGGTACTGTTTTCAGGGGATAATAAAATGTACAAAATGTTTTTCTCGGTTATCTTTTGGGGGCACACAAATAGAAAATGGATTGCAGGTGTTTAAGCATGTATATGTTAGAAAATAAAGAGGATCAAAAAGTATTGTGGAAATTTGACAGACTAACAGATACAAACTTATAGAGGTAATGTGGCACCTTTAGCAGAGAGCAGGTAAACTATTGCAACCTGGTTCAGTATGACAGGGGACCTTGTCAAGCTCCTTTGGTGCCCATTACAAGTTTCCTGATAAACATTAAATTTAAAAGAATTCAGTTTGTGCTAGTTTAACTACCAGTCTGTAACTGCCTCATTTCTCAGTATAACATGTTTAACTAGAACATAATGCTTTCAAAGTTTAAGTTAATATTATATATATTATATCTATAAATATATATTCATAATTGAGATTTAATTATGTAATGGATTGTAAAGAATTTGTTTGGATACTTACAAATGTCTCTAACACTATTATAGAGAAGAAATTAATATCTTTGTTTTCTTTAAAAAACTGACACATTGTTATATCCAAATTCATTTTTACTGAAAAAATACTGTACATGTGTAAAATGTTCAGTTGTTATTTGTAAAACAGGGTAGTTCTGTTGTAATTGATATTGGCCAAAATCAATGTTATTCCATTCTTTATTTTTTCTATTAAATTAACCTAAATTCCTGTTCTTTTGGTCTGGAAAAACATGTTGATAATATATATGTAAAAAAATCTTTGTTGAGGGGCACCAGTAGCTTTATGGTATAGAACACTTAGATACCACACACAACTCACTGAAACAAATTGGAAGGGTAAGGGTGTTTAATTTTATTGCAGATTTTTTTTTAAGTGATGGAATTTGTGATTGCAGCAATGTCTGACTTCCATGGAGGACACCATTTGTTTAGTAGCAGTACAGCCATGTCTGAACCCTAGTGAATAACAGTGTTGGCTTCCTCTGACCTGTATAGAGTTTGTGATGAGTCTAATCTCTTGCATGTTTAGGATTAAAAAGTGAAATGCATAACTGCCTATTGGCTCAGACAGTTTAGGAGGAAGGTTTCATCTTTGCAGTCATACGTGGTGACTTGCACGGTGAGATATTGATGTCTGTTCATGTGCCAATACTCACAGCCAGTGCACCTCAGATCACAAGCCCATTCTTCCACTTGAGAATAGCAGGCTGTCTGTCCTTTCCAGAGAAACAAAATGGCTCCATGTAGATTCATCTGTGACCCTTGCAGAGTGAGATCCTCCATCAGCATTAGCTGATGCTCTTGTTCATTTCCCACTTAGTCCTACAACCTGGATGGAGACCAAAATGGGAACTTATCCAGGAAGTCATATATGCAGGTGACATTTTAAGCACGTTCACTGAGGCCATGTAAATAACTTCCTGAAAAAAATCTATTCAGTCTTAAACACTTCACTGTCACCAACTTGGTTTCAAAACAAGGAGTTAGGTCATCATTATCACAGTTTCCCTGAGAATCCTGGGAGGAAGTGTATGTGGGATGGCACATTCCTAGCAGTTTGGTAAGACCACACCTGGAAAAAAGGTTGGCCTAACCCTTACACCAATATCATGTGAAGAGCTGCTTCTTTCAGCTCCCATTCCATTGGACTGAGAAATCCAATCAATCATGGTGTCT